TTAATGTGTTCCCCAGGAAAGGACATATGTATGTAATCTAAATGTCTAAATATCAGTCAAGAAGCAACTGGATGAATTCCATTTCTGGAAAGCAGAAGTAAGGCCACTATATAAGCACCCCTATGAAAAAGATTATGGCAGGCCCTTGTTGGTGGAAAGAAAATGTATATATCACAATTTAAAATGGTTGGGTACACACAACATCCTAGACTAAATTAAGCTGGATTTGGATAATTAGTAATTCAACTAACTGAATCACCCAGTTATTTTTTTCAGCAGATAGGCATGAACCAGACAATCATATTAAGTCATAATAAAGTTTATTTCCTGTCCCGTAGCATCTTATGTGAACACAGACATTGGATTTTGTTCTGTTGCTTAACTGCCTGTTGTCTATCTATAACTGACCTTTAAAATGGAAGGGATTATTTGGACCTGTGGCTCATTGTAAATTGACTGTTGTGGTGATTGTTTTTAATTATCTTGGACTGTTGCTGTTTTTGCTTGTATTTCCTGGTTGCTGCCCAGAGTTGTTGCAGCAAGATGGACAGCTGTATAAATTGAAGGAAGGCAGACAGGCAGGTAGGCTTAGGGGTAACTGTGTTGTCTGAACCAAGCCTATGAGTGCTGAACCCTGGCAAGTGGTAAAACAATTGCGTTTTCCACATGTAGTTCTGGTTATTGCTCTTCAGTGCAAGCGTCAGTGAGAGCAGATATGTGTTTTGTTTTACAAAGGAAACTGCTTTATTAGAAGGATTCTCAGAGGACATCTCTGTTTGAAGGCACTCTAGATTTCAGTGGTTCTCCAGTAACATCATGCTTTAAAGGCAAAGCACTCTAAGGATAGCAGGCACTTTGCCCATGTGCAGAATAGCTGAAAAAAGTCTCCTGCATTTTTCCTACTGTTCTGTTCAGTTTGATGAAGGTGAATTTTCTTTAGACTTTATATGAAAGAAGAAGGTAATTACAGTGGAATTCTTGGGGAAGGAGCAGGGGCGTCCATGGGGAGGGGGGGTCAAGAAAGTCAAGGTGGCAGTCATGACTGTGTGAGCAAAACATTGACACATTTATGAGTGATCTGAATGTGACACATGCAAAAAAGGGGAGGGGCTTGGATCACATGGTTGCTGGTACCATCTTGATATTTTTGACTCCTGCCCCCTGCTAATACAGATGCCCCTGGGATGCTGCATCATTTTCTCACACTTATTTGATTATGTGGTGGATAAAAAATCAGTGGGAGAAAGACCCATCTTCACCATATGGTCCTCTTTCCAGACTCTTTGGCTTCCTAGATCTATGAGACAGCAGCATGAAGAAACTCTTCCTGATAATGGGTTTTTTTTCAGAGGGAAAAGGTAAACTGCTAGGGTGGTGCTGAATTGATGGAAAGATATGTAACGGAGAAAAACGATGTCAGCATAGCACCCTTTGCCATCTCCAACTAAAGCCACAAACACTGTCAGGAGAAATTGAGAAGAAATTTTCAAGCTTCCCGAGAATAAGAAAGAAATGGGAAACCCTCTGCTATTCTGAGAAATAGCTGGCAGGTTTTAGTTTGAGCACCCACATGGATGATATCCAGTGCCAGTTTCTTCCCCACTATTTATTTATTTATTTATTTATTAATTATTTATTTATTATTATTTATTTATTAAATTTTTCCCCCGCTCTTCTCCCCCCAATGGGGGACTCTGGGCAACTCACACAAAACATTAAAACCATAAATACATATAAGTACATAAAACATCAGAATTTAAAAACATGACTAAAAAACTATCATAAGATGCTCTGTTGGGATTTATACCTGCATCTATAAATTAGCATAAGACATTTTTATTCAAATCAGCACCTTATTTGTCTTTTGTTTGCTTCCTTAGGGACACTTTATATATCTTACATTGCTCTGTGTTAATATCTAAATCAAACTTATATTTAGAATGGAATCAATTTTAGGCCTGTAAAAACCAATCATATCCCTCATTCCTTTAGGAATTCTTGCTACATTGTCTATGGTGATTAGATTTTGCAGGCGCCATTATCTGTGAAACAAAAGGCAGTTTAACTTAATTTTGGGATGTTGTAGGTTTTTAAACACCGTATTCTTTAGTCATCTTCATTAACCAAATGCTGAGTTCTGAATAGAGATTCAACACATTTCAGTCTGTATTTAAAGTCTTGCTCTGTATGTATTCTCCTTCATCAAGGAAGATCCTTACAGAGGGATATAAATTGGACAGTTTAAGGGCCCCAGAGAGCCAAGAAATTAACCATACAGTATATATTTAATTTGCTCATTGCACTCTCCTACATTAATGCTGTTGAATTCTCAGTAAGGTAAAATCTTAATTTAATGGACCATCTGGGTAGGTGGAATATCTGTCATACTCCAATGTTTGTTAAATCTGAATTTGCATCATTGGTGTCAATTTATGTCATTTACATCACTGGCGTTAATTTATGTGAAATGGCCAAACTACCTGAGATACCATAGGTTTTCTTTGTTATTTTGAAGGGATGTCCAGATGCAGATTGTGTCTGTTGTATCCTCATAAGTTCACTAACTAGGTGTTCTTAAACTGTGGTTTTACTATAACTGGCATATTTGTCACTTTCTGCAGAACTTTAGAGAGTTCAAGTATAGGTTTCTCAAAGCCACAGAACATAGGCATACAGCCCTAAAATTCATAGGGATCTTTATTGTGGCATGTAATACACACACAAAGCATAATATTTTTAAATAGTGCCCTTTTCCCCATAAAATTACAGCAACAATAAAAATATGTAGTATCTTTCCCCCAGTTCCAGTGGCGATGAGAACATCATTGGAAGACCTGAAGGACTGGGTTAGGGACAGATCATCATAGAGAAAATCTATCTATGTGGTCGCTAAGAATCAACATTGACTTGTTGCCACATAATCCATCCATCCATCCATCCATCCATCCATCCATCCATCCATCCATCCATCCATCAACCAAATATATTATTTTTAAACTTAAAAAGTCCATTATTATGTCTGTGAGGCAATAGAAACTAGGGGATCTTCTTCTGTTTGACATTTCTTCCATGCCTATGAAAAAATAAACACTTGATGGGAAATACCTTCCATTTTATAAGGAGCTTCTTTTCCGCTCAACTCCTGCTCAAAGGAAATGCTATGAAGATTAAAGATTTCTTTCTGAGCTGTTTCTCCTTGGTGAACACACTTGTCTTGCCTCTCATCCCAGTTCCTGGGATTTTTTTCCTATATCTAAGGTGACATAACACCTTGTTCCCCTCTCCTAATTGTCTACAGTCATCCTAAGGGACAGACTTTTCACTGGCCCCACATAATGGCCAGTTGGATTCCTCTCCCCTTTCCCCCTTGCCAGGAAAAGTATGCTGGGCAAAAGAACAACAAGAGTAGGGATTAGATTCAGATTACCTGCTGGGTTATTTTGCTTTTGCACCATACCCGTTGACCAGCCAGAGGGAGTGTTGGCCACCCCTATGGGAAGACAGATGAAAAACTGCCCCAGGCCTTCAGAAAATAAACTGGATGGAGGGCTGTGGCCCAGTGTTTTGTCTGAAAGTCTGCTGACGTGGTAAATGGCTCTTTTGTGGCTGGGTACATCCACAATCATAGCCATTCCACGAAAGTGTTCATAACATGTTCCGAAATATTTTTATTTGCCTATCAGCCCCTGGATTGGAACTCTTACCCCAGGACAACACATCCTTATGGGTTGGATATATAGATGTGGATTCTCAGCAAAAATACTGACTGTTGCATGAGTTCAGTTTGTGCAAAACTAGAGTTGGATTTACTGATATTATTAATATTTAGTTAATATCTGCAGTATCAATCATTCAAATAACACCAACCAATTATAATAATCTTAATTGGATTTTTAAAAATAATAAACAGCATTCAGTTTATATATGGAGCATTGGGTTACATTGTTTGCAATCACAGTGACCTTAAAATAAATCAAAGTTAATGAAATGGGTGCTTAATATCTCTTTAAATTTGTCTTTTACTCCTCTAGTTTATGAATGCTTATGCCAGATAAACATGCTAGCTATTAAAATATTTCTGTACACTTTGCTGTTGTTTTCTGAAGCTGATTAACATGGCTACTCTTTTGGCAATTAATTTTAAAAAGCCCTGCTTTCCACTGACAGCTATTTAGAACATTTAACTAGGAGTTTGCTGCCACTGTAGGTATTAAGCATTATCATCTTTGAACAGAAAGAAAAATAAGAAAGAAAAAGAAAGGACATGGTCCTCTTTTTCATGAAGTAAGCTTTTGTCACTCAGGTACTCCTGAGATGAATTGAGAGAAAAATTTCCAGGATTCCCAGTAAGTGATTAGTAATTATACAATTGAAGATCCATTGTATCTAATGCCTAAACTCATGAATATTTTAACAACAGCCAAATGATTAGATTCACTGCAATTTCTTTTTGCCTAAAGCAAATATCCCTATACTTCAATTAACTTAAATGAGATACTTAATTCAGTAAACCCTTCCTTCCTTCCTTCCTTCCTTCCTTCCTTCCTTCCTTCCTTCCTTCCTTCCT